CTAAAAACTCTTGAACAAAAAGAACCATACTCACCCAGGTGGAGTAGATGCCAGAAAACAATCAAATTGAGGGCTGAAATCAGTAAATTAGAAACAAAGAATCAATGAGCCAACTCAACATGATAGACAAACACTTATGAAAACTAACCAAAAGGCAGAGAGAATATGCAAATCAACAAAATCAGAAATGAAAAAGGGGACATAACAACAGGCACTGAGAAAATTCAGAGAATCATTAGGTCATACTTGGAAAATCTATACTCCACAAAATTGGAAAATTTAAAGAAAATGGAAAAATTTCTCTGTGCTATATACCAAAATTAAAACAAGAATAGATAAACACTTTAAAATAGACCTATAACACCTAGGGAAAAAGAAGTAGTCATCAAAAGTCTCCCAACCAAATAACCCAAGGGCCAGAGGGTTTCAGTGCAGAATTCTACCAGAATTTGAAAGAATAACTAATACCAATACTCTTCAAGTTGTTCCATGCAATAGAAACAGAAGGAACATTGTCAAACTCTTTTTTTGAGGTGATAGTTACCCTGGTACCCAAACCACACAAAGATGCAACTGAAAAAGAAGTACAGACCAATGTCCCTCATGAACATTAATGTAAAAATTCTCAGTAAAATACTGGCAAACCCAATCCAAGAAAACATCAGAAAAAAATCATCTACCATAATCAAGTTATCTTCATCCCAGAAATGCAGGAATGATTCAAATGTGAAAATCCACAATATAAACAAACTGAAAGAAAAAAGCCACATGGTCATCTCATTGGATATGTAAAAAGCCTTTGACAAAATACAACATCCCTTCTTGATAAAGGTGAGGGATACAAGGAACATACCTAAGCATAATAGAGGCAATATACAGCAAGCCAACAGTCAACATTAAACTAAATGGAGAGAAACTCAAAGTGATTCCACTAAAATCAGGAACAAGACAGGCTGTCTACTGTATATCTATTCAATATAGTACTTGAAGTTCTAGCTAGAGCCATAAGACAACAAAATGAGATCGTGGGGATACAAATTGGAAAGTAAGAAGTCAAATTTTCACTATTTGCAGAAGTTATGGTAGTTTACATAAGTGACCCAAAAATTATACTAGGGAACTTTTACAACTGATAACCACCTTCAGTAATGTAGCAGGATACAAGATTAACTAAAATAAATTAGTACCCCACCTATATACAGATGATAAATGGATTGAGAAAGAAAGTGGTAAAACATCACCCTTCACAATAGCCACAAATAACATAAAATATCTTGGTGCAACTCTAACAAAACAAGTGGAAGACATGTATGACAAAAACTTTAAGTCTCTAAAGAAAGAAATTGAAGAAGATATCAGAAAGTGGAAAGAACTTCCATGATCTTGGATAGGTAGGATCAACAATAAAAATAGCAGTCTTACCCAAAGCAGTCTACAGATTCAATGCAATGCCCAGCACAATTCTATATAGACCTTGAAAGAATAATACTCAATTTCATATGGAAAAACAAACAAAAAAACAGGATAACAAAAATTTCCTCGTTCTTAGTCTCTAGAATAGTATCTGAGAAATAATCACTTGTCAGTTGAATGCATGCTTAATGTGGTATTCATTTTTCGGGTTAAATGTCAAGAAATTTTCATTTGATTGTCATTAATTCATTCCTAAACCATAAACCATTTATTGATATTATTCCATTAAATTCATAAATATTTCTCTACTTACACTATATGCGTAATCTTCTAGTTAGTTTCTTACTTACCGTGATGATCTCTTGCCAGGCTTCATTGCTGTGTCTGAAGGGGAAATACATCTTACCTATTATGTCTTGATTATATTTTTGAGTCTTTAAAATTCTTATATATCATTAGAGGCTCTTACATAGAATCTGATTCATTGTTACTTGCAGCCAGGGATCATTTATGTCTAAAATTTCCCAGCAATGTCTGTACTGTGGTTCATCAAGAACATTTAAGTAGCAAGATGCCATACTGTACATTGTCAAATCCTCTTTTGACAGTTGATCAAAACAATTTTCCATTGTCTTTTTGTATGTTTAAATCATCATTGTGTATTTTAATTTCATCTTTCATGTTTTTATTTTTATATTTTAGCAAGAGAGTGATAATGCTCATATGTCACCACAGTCTCCAGTATCATCCGAGGTACAAGTTGTTTTAATGCTTTGTATCTTTTCTGTGTTTTATAAAGAGTTTTTTTCTTACCTCCTTTCTAAAACTTCATCTTTTTTATACAAAGTCATTTATTTACTTCTTTTTGAAATCAGTAGTTGATTACTATGTACAAGTTTCATCTGTAAAAAATTTTGAATACTATTCCTGTGTATGAATATCCCTAGTAAATTTCACTAAGTTGTGGTTTTCTGTGGAACATATTTCTACATCACTGAATATAAGTCAATTTATGATATGTATGCCTTCTTATTCCTCTATATTTAAAAATAAGTGTTGGATTTTAACAATAGCTTTGGAATTTTAATTTTAAAAATGCATTAAGCATTGTGCAATGGCCTTTGGTTTTCCTTGTAACTAATAAGGTCTGAAAGCAATGCAAGAGAAATGTCCTTTTTCCACGAGAAACAATCCTGTAGTGGATTGTTCCTATCGACAGAAGGTCACACGTTTCCTGGCATCTTAGATCTAAAGAATAATGGGAGAGCTGTTATATGAAAGTCATAATTTCTAAAATTTTGTTTAAATACTATGGTTGTTTGAATGATGAGTTCATGTAACTTAATCTTATTGCTTTACCACAAGAACTTTAAATATTTTAAATATTATCTCATTTAGTATTGATCACTTTATTTAGTATTCTAAAGTCTATTTTTATTAGTAGGAAAACAATAATTCGTTTGGAGAATTCACATCTTAAAATTTTTGATTGATCTGAATTTATTGTATAAACTTGATTATATAGATTTTTTCATTATATGTACATAGATTTGTTTTTTAGAAAACTGAGATTTTTTCTGTATTACTTTGTGTGATTTGTATTATAAAACTTTTCTATGACCATGAGCATGAGTTTAATGAAAATATTACTAAATTATATGGAAAACAAAGTAATATATATTGTGTTAGAAAACAATTTTAATTATGGTATCCTGAAATTAGTCATAGTTGCATGCTTTTTAAATCCTTTCTTTGTAAGTTATAACAACTGTAAGAATAGACATGACTACCACTTGGTTTGCATTGCTGCTTTGTGTGATGTTATGGCCTATGTATATATACCAGGAAGTGTACTAATGTCTATTTTTCTCAGGTAAGTTCTACTGCTTTTATGAGTTTTGTTTTTATTTGGATAAGTAGAACTTTGTTCAGTAATTTATAACAATTTCAACAAAATAAAGAAGACCAAACATAGGATGTATATGGGTGGGATGCTGAACGTGTTTTCCTAGCTCCACTCACGTTCACATTGAGCTGTCTAGCACATCTAGAGAACATTTAGACACTGTACAGAATTCTTACTGCCACAGTTTCATGTGAGAAGAAAATGGTAAAACCTGTTAGTGTACCACATTAACAGAGTCTCTCTGTTTTGTTTCAGCATAAATAGAGTCCCATTTTAATGTGCCTTTATTGTTTTGTAGCTGAAAAATCCAGTAGTTTTCCCCAAAAGCCTAGACAGTAAGTGGCAGAGAAATAACTAAAACTTTTGCCCTAACAGTTTTGGGCAGTTGTTACCCAGAGTCAAAAGGTGCTGCCATAACTGCATTTTATTTATATGTTTTTATAAATTATAAAATTTATAAAACACTTTTAGTTACTTCATTTAAATCCATTTGAAGTATATGGACTTAATCACATTAAATGAAATGTTTACTCAAATATACTTTTGTAGGAGGAGGAGGGCCCTCTTGTTCATCCCAGCTGCCCAGCTAGCTTAGCCCCGAAATAACCACACAGAAACTGTATTAATGAAATCACTGTTTGGCCCATTAGTTCTAACTTCTTATTGGCTAACTCTTACATATTAATTTAACCCATTTCTATTAATCTGTATATCATCATGAGGTTGTGGCCTATCAACAAATTTTCAGCATGTCTACCTCTAACAGTGGATCCATGGCATCTCCCTGACTCCATCTTCTTCCTGCATCCCCTTTAGTTTTTCAATACCTATCTCTCTTCTCGTACATCTCTGCTATACACCCACAGCAGTTTCTTTATTAACCATTGAAAGCAACACATAGACAGAAGGACCTCCTACACCATACTTTAGGCTTTTTGCACCAATCGGGAATTTCTTTAATGTTATGTGTATCTTTCCATAGCTCACCATGACTTGCAGAAACACTTTAAAATAATGTGTGTTCAGATGGAAGAGATAATGATTTGCTCTCATCTATTATTCTAAAACTCCTGTAATTGTGGATTGGCCTCAAATTTTCCACTAAGTATCAAGTCAGTAGTACATACAGAGTCCATGTTGATCTATCTTTTAATTGATTTGTTCTTCATTATTTTAAAAACCTTCACTTAATTCTTCTTTTTAAAAAATCTGTCATACCTTGTTAATTATTTTCCTTTTTTTCCATAGTATCCGAAAATATGTGCTGGTAAGATACTTCTCTTGGTAAAGGCTTTTGCCACCAAGCCTTACCAACTCAGTTTGATCGCAAGGACCGATATTATTGAAGAAGTAACTCCCCCAAATTGTTCTCTTACTTCCATCTCCCCCCCCCGGCTCTTTCTCATACACACACACACAAACACACACATACACACACACATGTGAACATACATAATTACTTTTTAAAAGTGAAATAAAGATTTAAAGTTGTATTCCCAGGTAAATCAGGAATATTTATTGACTTCTAAACCGAGAAATATATAAACTTGAATTGAAATCTAGGTTGAGTTTCACTATTTAAGAAAACATTGGAAATAAAGATTTCTCAAAATTGAAACAGGTATGAAAAGGTGCCTGGATAATTTTGGAACAGCAAGGGTTTTGCTTTTTTTCCTTTTAGGAATACGACAGGACTGATGGCTTTTCACATGGTCCCTTTGGCTTGAAGCCTAGATCAGGTAAATATATAGTATAGTCTTCAAATATAATTTGGTGTCTTCTTTGTTCATTATAGAGTTTCCCAGCTTAAATGACTTAGAATCCATAATTTTATGTATACAATGATCCTTTCCCCTCTTCTAGAAGCAATTTTCTCTTGATCATATTTATCTTTGCAATTCCCAACACCATTTCTGTCTTTCCCGTTACCTTCAAGCTCCTGTAACCTCAGCTTTTTGCCTTAGGTATCCTGCAGTTTTATTTCTCCCCTGCTGTGATTGCGATTAGAATGAGCCCTCTGCCAGCACACAAATGTTTGAAATTATAGCATTCCATTGTATTGTGGTTCAAAACAGGGATCTTTTTGCATTTGGCATGCCCCAAAGAAAATGGATCCATTTTACTTGGCAAGGTATTGAATTATAGTCTTAGTAGTGAATAACCACCTTGACCTTCCAGAATAATTTCCTTTTTTCTTTAAAGCTAGAAAACTATCATATGTTGTATCATCACTTTTAACCTGGGTCATAAGTTTGTCACAATATATAATTAAATAAGAACATACGTAAGTGCTGGAAATCATTGCACTTGAATTGCCTGTTGCTTTTCATCCATGCAACTAACGATCATTTACATGTAATTAAAATATTTGTAATGAATTATTAAAAATATCTTCCATAATTATCTACTGATATTTTTATCATACATATTTCTCCATGGATGGCTGTTCCCTTTTTACAAAAAGTTAGGGAATTTCTCTTTCTATACAGCCTTTAGTCGTGCATCTCGGCAAGAATATGGGGCAGCAGATCCAGGGTTTACAATGAGAAGAAAGATGGAGCATTTACGGGAAGAGCGTGAACAGATACGGCAGCTTCGCAATGTAAGTCACGATGACCTTGCACAGCTGCTTTACAGATATAGATTTCATTTCACAAATTCATATAGTAATTTTGTTTCCTAATGCTCTTTCAAATTTTGATCATATAATTGGTAATATGAATGCATGCCATACGTTTTGATATGACCTGAAAATTTATCCTCATGTCTTTATAGAACCTTGAGTCCAGATTAAAAGTAATTCTGCCTGATGACATAGGAGCTGCACTGATGGATGGGGTTGTTCTTTGCCACTTGGCCAATCACATAAGGCCACGCTCTGTAGCTAGTATTCATGTACCATCACCAGCAGTGGTAAGTAGTGTCAAAAGATTACTCTTTCTCCCAAGGAGAGCACAAGGTTTAAAAAAATGTCCTTAACTATTGCAATTAAGCAATACAGTTTTCATTATCAAATTGTTCGGCATATACATACTAGAAACGTTTGTCTTTCTTTTCTTTCTTTATAGCCCAAGCTGAGCATGGCGAAATGTCGAAGAAATGTAGAAAATTTTCTTGATGCTTGCAAAAAGTTGGGTGTTTCCCAGGTAATTATCTAACAACATCATCACTTAGTTATTAATCTATTGTGTGGAAAGTAGAATGAGTAGAAGCATCTTCATAGTGAGGGATGAGTCATGCTTTGTGAGCACAAATTTGAGTTTCTTCTCTCTGTTCCTCTCCTATGCTCCTTCATGTAACTGTAGCATTTATCTAGTAAGTGCTTTTTAAACACTTCAAAAAGTCCTTTATAAAGCCTTTGTGAACAAAGTCTGTGGATTGTAGATACCACTGAGTAAACAGAATGTAATAATGAGAACTGAAATTTGATGGTGTCACCATTGTGTTGTTGTTTATTTCTTTCTTTGACACCTTTGTTGTTGTTTATTTTCATGCTGGAGATTGAACCCAAAGCCTCGTACATGCTAGGCACACATTCTACCACTTAACTAATTATAATTACTCTAGTTCTCTCTTGTAACTTCATGAGTCGATTCTGAATTGAATGTGGTTGACAGTTGGGACAAACTGAGGGGCCAATGACAATGGCACTGGGATTTATCTCTAGTGCATGTACTGGCTTTTTGGGATCCTATTCTTTTTGGATGTATACCTTGCTCAACATTGATGTAGTGGGGAAGGCCTTGGACTTTCTGCTGGGCAGGGTGCCTTGGCCTCTCTCAGGATTTGAGGGGTTGCGTGAAGCATGTGTGGAGGGTGTGGGAGAGAGTGGGAGGAGAGGAGGAAGTGGGATTTTGAATTGATACTTTTTTAAAGTAATAAAATTTAAAAAAAAGAAAGTTTACATTAGTATAACTATATTAGAACAATGAGACTGCCAAATTGAAAAAATCTTGGTTCAGGGCTGGAGAGATGGCTCGGTGCTTAAGAGCAGTAGCTATTCTTCCAGTAGACACAGGTTTAATTCCCAGCAGACAACTGGACCTCCAGCTCCAGAGATGCTGACACCCTCACATATACACACATGAAGGGAATACAAAAATGCACATAAAATAACAATAAGTAAATCACTAAAAAATAAAAATATATAACAAATATAAATCTTAGTTGTAGCGTGAATCCACAGGAGTCTGTTAATGGTTCTCAAGAATTTAGGTATAAAGTAGGGGTAGGCACTCACTGATACAGAACTGGTTAGATGTCATTGCTAATCCTTTTTCCTTCATCCAGTCATTTATTTGCCCAGGGGCTGCCTGCTTTGCTTCTACCACCCAAGTGAGTGAGAGAGCAAGAGACCATTTCCCTCAGCTTATAATTTTTCATGTTATATAGGCAGACAAGACCATGGACTTGCTGCAACAAAAGTCATTGGCTAAATGGATTGAAATCCCACAACACTTGTATTATATATGATAATATCTTGTAATAAACAAACTTTCAAATGAGTATAAATTGGATTGCATTTTACATAATAATTGCAGTATTACAAAATCAAATCAGTACTGTCAATAGATTAATATGTATCATAAATGTTGCCTATTTTGAAGACTTCAGGAACCTAATCTTAATGTGGCTACTAAGAAAAATAATATTTTAGACGACAATTACTTTGTGTTAAACTCTCTTTTAAAAGGTGACATTATTAACTGACCCTCAAATCCGACTTTAGCCCATGTCCTCAACTGAATAGACACCATTTATGTTGTTTAAAAGAAGCAGTGAATTCATGTGTACTTTGTTAACTACTCGCTGTCCTTTTATTATCTGTGATTTATATATGGTGCCTTAAAATTTTACTTCTTAAAGTTTATTTTTGTGTGCTTATAATTTCTTATGGAATTGAAAATTGAGGATTTTTTTTATCCCAGCTGTTATTATATGATATTACATGTTCTTATTTTTACCATTTTTTGGGTTTTTTTGTTTATTTTTATTTTTTTTTTTTAGTTGTTGAAAAAAAAATTCCGCCTCCTCCCCGTTTCCCATTTCCCTCCCCCTCCTCCTACACATCATTTTTACCATTTTTGTTTTGGGGAGTTTTATATTTATGTTTGATGTGTATTATCCTGAACTTGGCACCAATGGTGTGTTATTGTTTTATTATTTGCTTGCTCTAGAACATTTTCTGATTTTTAAAATCTCTATTGGGATAATACCAATCTATAATAAGATACACATAAATAAAAGTATAAAATTTGATGCTTTATACTTTAAAAAATATTCTGTCCAGTTCGTGATGGTCCACACTTTGAATCCCAGCACTCAGGAGGCAGAAGTAGGAGAATCTCTGTTAGTTTGAGACTGAATACATTCTATACAGTGAAATCCAGAAGTCAGAGCTGTTACACAGAGAAACCCTGTCTTGAAAAATCAAAAAAAGGGGGGGGTGATGAAGTATAGTCCCCAACCACACTTTTTGTTCCCTATAGCTTTCATGTTATATCTAAAAAAAGGACTGCCTAATACAAGGGCGTAAGTATTTATTTATATCTATATGTTTTCAGAAAAGTTCTTCAGTGTTATTTAGGTGTATACTTCATTTTGAATGTCAGTTTTGTGTTTGATGTGTGATAGGGTTACAAATTTATTCTCCTGGGTATTAGTATCTACTTTTCCCAGCACAAGTTATTGCTAAGGCTGATATTTCTCCACTGAATTGTCTTGACTCTCTTGTCACAAATCTGTCATTCATAAATGGAAGGCTTTAGTTTTATGCTTCACGTTTTCCACACTGATTTCTTTATGGCAGCAGCACCCTGTGTGACTATAGCCTGTTGGGACATTTGAAAGACAGTGTGGATGCTCTTGTTTTATTGGATTTTAAGGTTATTTTGGCTGTAGTGATTCTTTTGCATTTCTGTACCAGTATATCAATGTTAGCATTAGTTTGCCAAGTTCTACAAAATGGCCACCTTAAATTTTTTTTTGTAGATTATGCTGTTTTCTCTAAAATTTTTATTGGTCCAGGAACCTGAGATGTCTTTTCATTAATTGATACCTTCTAAAATGAATATATACAATGCATTATAGTTTTCATCATGTGAGGACAATGCCTCTTTGGTTAAATTAAGTCTGGCATTATATTCTGCTATAATGCAATTATTATCTTAATTTGAAAACTTTTCAGATTGTTATTACTATTATGTGGAGATACACCTGACCTTTTTCACGTCAGTCTTGCAAAACTCACTTCTGTTGGCAAGTAGGATATAGTTTTATAACCTAAGTGTTTTTTTTTTAGTTTGAACATTTTTCATTTCTTCTTGTCTAAGTGTTTTGTCTGGATTCCCTCATATGAGGAACACTGGTTGTGCCATCAGAAGTCTTTTCTTTCTTTATTTCAGAGAAAGTATTAGGTCCTTTATCATCTATTATGATATCATTAGGTACTAAGATATCTTTATTAAACCCTGATTCTGATTTATTAAAAAAATCACACTGGGTGATCTATGGGTCTTCCATAGCTGTCCATCCAGTGACTTAATGCATTTTCCTAAGTTACTTTCTAATAGTTGTACAGTCTCTTGCATGAAATCCCATTTTCTCTGTACTTTTCTTCTGTATCACGGGCTCTGTGTGTGTGTCTGTAAATCCATTTTTTTTTGTTTAATTGTTTAGTTTCATTAATCATTTTTGCTCCATAATTGCCTTAGTAAATCACTGTTTCTCTTTATAGATTTTTGAAATCATTCAGTATTAGCTATTCTGAGTTGTTTGCATTTCCATATACTTTTAGAGTGATTTATCAACTTATATAGAAAAAGAAGAAAACCTAATTAAATTACTATAGAAATTTTGTTAAATTAATGGAACAAAATAAAATTATATTTAATAAAACAATATTTTTCTTAACTTCTGTGTATAATGTATGTCCTTAGTGGAGTCTTCTTGAATTTCATTCACAGTTAATGTGGATATTAATTTAACATCTGGTCCTTTGTTGCTAACATATATTTATCAATGAATTTACAATCTTACTATGTAATTTTCCTACTCCCTTTCCTCTAATCATATTTTTTATGAATAGAAATAAACTCTTCTAGTTTTATTCACCTCCCCAACAGTAATGCATTCCCCGCCTCAATGGTGATACTAATTTTCCATGTTTATTAGATTTAAAGCCTGGAATTTATTAACTTAGCAGACCACTAGCTTCTACCAACCCCAAACCAAGCACTGCCCTAAGATAGCACTAAGGCCTCTTGGAGAGACTTTCCCACCTTGTTTCACTGCCTCTCTGATGCACCCACCACTGCATTTGAAAGTTACCCATATTGATGACTTTCTTCGTTCCATTACTGTAAGACTACACTAAACTGATTCCATGTGGAATATTCGATTTTGGAACCTAAATGTATGTCTCTGGGCTCTGTTTAAGCCTATATGTTCCAGAATAAACCATATTTCTCTTTTGAGGACAAAAAAAATAATGAACCTCTTCTTTCATTGTGATCTGGTTGTTTTTGTTTTAGTTTCTTGTTGTTTGTTTTTTGATTTATTTCTAGACAGGGTTTCTCTGTGTAACCATGCCTGTCCTGGACCTCACTTTATAGACCATACTGATCTCAGTTTCACAGAAATCTGCCTGCCTCTGCTTCCCAAGTGCTGGGATTAAAGGTGTACATCACCCACCACTTGGTGAGACTAGGCATATCCCCTCATATTAAGACTGGGCAAGGCATTCCAGCATGAGGAGTAGGGTCCCAAAAAACAGGAAAAGAGTTGGAGACAGTCCCTTTTTCCTACTGTTAGGAGTCCCACAAGAGGACCAACCTATACAACTGTAACATATATGCAGAATACCTAAGTTGTTCCACATTGGTTTAATATGTTCTTTTTGTAGTTTCTGATGAATGTTGGTATTGTCTTTACTTTGAAACTTTTTATAATAATATTGATTATTTGAATTTTTGAGTAAAATAGTAGAACACCAATTGTAACAATGAAACTTCAGATACAAATATCATTTTGAGCCTGCTTTAGCTATCTTTAGTAGTATTTGGTGAATACTAATTTAATTATAGAAGTAATGAAGGAGGAGTCTTTTACACTTCGTATTTTTGTATCAGTGTATTTTGAAAAATGCCTGAGATACAAATTCCAAAAGATAATTTTATTTCTTGAAGCAGTTCTTTCATGGATATGTTGATTTAGATGTATTTGTAGGACATATATTTGGTCATGGCTCACTAGCATTGCTTGATGTACCTTTAGTAGAAATCAAGATTTGGAATTCAGGGTGGAAGTGGGAGTTAAAATTATTAGACACAATACTAAGGGGTGGTATAGTGAAAAAAGAGAAGTGTGAGTGTAAAATTCTTGAAAATATGTAGGACTTTAGAAGAAAATGGGTAAAGACTACTGTCATTCAAAGCTCAATTGCATAGGCAAGTTGAAGAACTAAACAGATCGGTATCACAGAGAAGAAAGCAGGGATGAGGTTTCAAGGAAAGCACTGGTTGAAGATTAATGTAACAAAGTAGTCGAATATGTATGGGTACTTTGTGATCTTTATGAAGGTGGTGGTGATTTTTAACAGAGCATCTTTAGTGAGCAAATCCATCAGAAGCAGGAGTAAGATAGTAGAGACTGAGTAATAGTGACATGTTCCTCAACAACCTGCTTCTGAGTAGAGTACATTGATTGCGTTAGAAACAAAGCTAATCTCTAGAATCCCTTCCTTAGGCTAAATTGGGAACCTAAGCACATTTTATGTTATATAAAATATTATATATATTTATTAAAGATTTCTGCCTCCTCCCCGCCACCACCTCCCATTTCCCTCCTCCTCCCCCAATCAAGCCCCCTCCCTCATCAGCCCAAAGAGCAATCAGGGTTCCCTGCCCTGTGGGAAGTCCAAGGACCACCCACCTCCTTCCAGGTCTAGTAAGGTGAGCATCTATAGTGCCTAGGCTCCCACAAAGCCAGTATGTGCAGTAGGATCAAAACCCAGTGCCATTGTTCTTGAGTTCTCAGTAGTCCTCATTGTCCGCTATGTTCAACGAGTCCAGTTTTATCCCATACTTTTTCAGACCCAGGCCAGCTGGCCTTGGTGAGTTCCCGATAGAACATCCCCCCCATTGTCTCAGTGTGTGGGTGCATCTCTCACGGTCCTGAGTTCCTTGCTCGTGCTCTCTCTCCTTCTGCTCCTGATTTGGACCTTGGGATTTCAGTCCGGTGCTCCAGTGTGCCAAAAAAAGAAAGAAAGAAAGAAAGAAAGAAAGAAAGAAAGAAAGAAAGAAAGAAAGAAAGAAAGAAAGAAAGAAAGAAAGAAAGAAAGAAAGAAAGAAAGAAAGAAAGAAAGAAAGAAAGAAAGAAAGAAAGAAAGAAAGAAAGAAAGAAAGAAACCTTGTCTCAACAAGCAAACACAAACACACAAATGGAAGGAAGAAAAGAATATTTATAGGGGGCTGGAGAGATGGCTCAGAGGTTAAGAGCATTGCCTGCTCTTCCAAAGGTCCTGAGTTCAAGTCCCAGCAACCACATGGTGACTCACATTTTATATTATAATTAAGAAGAAAAATGTTGAATTATTATATAATTTCCTTTCATTTGAATAGAAAAATATTATAAAAATCTGCTTGTTGGGACTGGAGAAATGGCTCAGCACTTAAGAGCACCAGCTACTTTTACAGAGGTCCTAAGTTCAATTTCTAGTACCCACATGGCAGTTCACAACTGCCTATAACTGTATTCCCATGAAATCCATTGACTTCTTCTGGTGCACAGCTGAGAAAACATTTCTCCATATAAAATTCATAAATTAATAAACCATTTTGAATAACCAGACTCTTTTTATTGGGTTGAAGAGAAGGGAGATGTAGATTGGCTTGAAGGAAGGGAAAAGAAGGGGAAAATGAAATGGTGCAATTGCAATCTCAAAAATAAAATAAATAATTTAATAAGCAAAATTTTAAAATCTGTTCCAGACTTAAAATATTGTTGTTCTCTTTCCCCAGGAGAGACTCTGCTTGCCTCACCATATTTTGGAAGAACGAGGGCTTGTGAAAGTTGGTGTTACGGTTCAGGCACTCCTTGAATTGCCTACTACCAAGGCATCTCAGCTTTTTATGGCTTGATGTGACAATTAAAAAAAAAACATATGTGTATAATTTCATGTATTTGAAATGATTTCAGATATCTCAAAATCATGAAGAATGTCCAGTAAAAAAAATAGTTTGCCTTAGTTTTTTTTTTTCAGAATTACGTTAAGATCTCAGATTTAAACTGAGTTGTCCAAATAACTTTTGGAGGAAAATTGGATTAATTTATAGGAGTTTTTGATAAATTGAAATTCTCCTTTTATTATGTCATTCAAGAACCTTGACTGATTTTCAAAATGCAAATTGATACAAAATTTAAAACATGCTTTGAATTTAATAATCACATTAAGTTGAATATTTTTACATCACTGTATACAAGTAATCATCTGGGTAAAAGTAATATTTTAGGAAAACAATTATATATTTGAGTTATTTCATATACTCCTACTTTGTACACAATTTCTTCAATATTTTGTTTTGTTTCCCAGGAAAAATTGAAACGAACAAAACCTTGGCATTATTCAATTCTTTTAGTATTATCAGTTGGTGCCAAAATCTTTTCATTTATATTGTAGGTTGTTTACATGTGAAGTGCCTGTGTAATTGATGAATCTCAAATAGTCTTAAGAATTTTGCAATTTCTTTTTATGTATTAATAGAATCAATGGGATTTTAAAATATTTTGGTAGGTTTTGTACGGTCAATAATATGTGAGGGTTTAAATTACCTCACATTAGTGGTTTCTTAGTCAACCCATTGCAATTTTTTCTTAAATTGGTTCTTTCATGTTGTCAAAAATGTTAATATGCTTAATTTATGCTATTTAATTTTGCAAAAGCATAAACATCTTTTAATTGTTTAATCTGAAGAGTATTTTATTTCAGTGTTGAAAACGTTACACAAAGCAGTAAGACTTTGGAGGGCTAGGGAAGTACTAATTGTCAAGGACATTTTGATGCAACTGTCAGTGTTCCTGTTTATATCTTGACTTATGAGAACATTAAGTACATAAGCGCTGCCTTCCATATTAAAAGAGCGGCCTTTGAGAAGCAAGTTTTGATTCAAAATTTGGCCATTTCTGAATCATGCATTTCTTATGATCCTCAAGTAAATTGATGTTGAATTAAACACATTTTGTTTCATGAAATAGTATTTTCAGTAACGTCCTTGCTTGATTTGAAGATGGATAAACTTATGGTGATAGTAGTGCAGGAATGTTTCCAAAACATTACTGTGATGAATAACTCAGTTTCCTATAGAAGATCCTTCATATTCACTTTTGCAGTAGCCAAACAAGTATCATTTCTTAACTGTGTGATTATTTGCACTTGTTACCTCTTAATATGGATGCAACTTAATAAAAACATTGGCCTGGGTATTTCAAAGGAAATTTATAAAATGTAAAATGTCATGTGCCAAATACTATGGTAAGGATTGATTTTAGGAATAATTCTACATTATTCTGGCCAGTTGTCATGGAGCCCTATTTTTTAATCTTGGCTTCAGAATATAGCTATTTTCTTTTTAGTCCCCATGAGTCAAGTTGGAACTATTGAAGAGTGAAAGGCTTTTATTACTGTAAGTTTTAAGAAATAAAGTATTGATAATTTATTATTTAAATATTTGATCTATTTAGATAAGATTAAGTCATTGGATCTGAAAAATATCCCCATTGACATAATGAATCTCATTATCGGAAATTTGGATAATATAGGTAATTCAGAAAGTACTTTAGCTGATGAATTTTTAATTTAGACAGTTGACAGCATTACAAATTTCAGAAAGTTTAACAACCAAAACAATCACTCATACTTCTCTCATGATTATTGTGGTATAAAATTCCTCTTATTAATCAATCTTGTGTTATTTTCCCAGTATTTTGTGCTTTGTTATTATTGAAATAGTTGTGAAACTTTAGGTAATTCTTCTTACTACATTTCACTTGTCAGTTACCTATTACCTTATAGAGAAAACACACCCGAACTTCAGTGCTCATACTTGATAGCAAATAAAAATGCTTTTCAAGATGGGTCCCCTTGGGGCCTGTAACACAGCAGTTCAATTATTATTGTGCCAAAAGGCAATACCAATATCACTTATAATGCAGTTTCAGCATAGTCCACAATGACAACCTTATACCAAGATCCTGCCATATTTCTGTTAGTAACTTTTTAGTGTAAATTTTATCCTAAATGTTTTCTATGGCATTTTATATATTTACTTCATCAGTTATTGAATTAAGAATGGATATCATTATTTGAATGGTTTTGTGATTTGAGGAGGATTGAATGATCTAAGAATATCTAATCGGGCCCAAAACATCACGAGATAGCTACTTCTGTTAAACGTTATGACCACATTGGCACAAGGAAGAAGTGATGTTGGATATGTTTGAATTGAAATGAGTAAAAATGCGTAACCATTTGTTTAATACTTATCTTTATAGAATGCTAGTTTAATGACTTTTCTAACTGAATTTTTTGAAGAATTCAGAAATGTTTGTATTAGTCACAGATTTATCATAATTGATTTTCTGATGCATTTAAAAAAATGGAACACTAAATGTATATTACCGATGCAAACTGTGGATAAAATTGAATGAAAACAATCCAAGCTGGAGCTCCTTTTCTTCCTTTTTAGCGTCGCTTTGACTATCAATATCTTTGGTCAGTCGTCGATAGTTAGTGTCTGTGGTCCCTACTGTTGGTGGATATTCAAACCTTGAGTGTTGGTAGTGGTGCTCAGTGAGTGAAGTCTGACAACCTGAGTTTGACTCCCAGGCCCCACATGGTGGCAGAAGAGAACTGAAAGCTGCAAATTGTCCTTTCATTGTGGCTTCCCATGTTCTTACGCTCCATAAGTGCACCTCAGCACACTGTTGACTAAACAAACAATGCTTTGATAAGCTATATAGTCACCATAGGCTGTTTTAGTTGGGCATGGTGGTACACCTAGAATCTTGCTTCCTAGGGCGTCTAAAGTGAGAGCATCTTTTGAAGGCAGCAGTGTGTAAGGCTAGCCTAACAAATAAGTGAGACTCTGTCTCAGAAAGTAAAGCACAGCAGCAACAAATATATCAAAAGCTGAAGTAGATTGTTGTAAGGCTCATGATTGTTTTTACACTATGTTAATTTCAAGACAATTTTGTTTAAGAAATATTAAGTTATTTAGCTATTTTTTCAATCTAATGTTATCAATGTATGACATAAGCTCTCTGACAAAAGAAAACTTATTTAAAACAACATATAGAGAAGACCATTATGTGATGGTTTTATTGCACATTTTACTGCTTCATATACAACAGAATTATAAGAAATGTATTCTTTTACTGTCAATTGTAATTTTTCTAAACATGCTCATATATAATTGGGCATTGTGGCTCACCATTTTAATTCACTCAGGATAGGAGGATTACAATGAGTTGGACTACAATCTTCTTTATATAATGAGACATCTTCTCGAAAAATAAATCCAAAACCACATATTTTATGAAGTAACTATTATTTGCTTATAATTCTGTTTACCCTAATTGTAGAGCATTTATATATTGCCAGATGCTGTTGAAGAGAATATTGCTATAGTTACCTTAAAGTTACACATTTAGATGAGTTCTTGAGCACATAGCTATTGGATAAAGGAGGTTTAAAGTATTCCACGTGTCTTGCGGAATTTTGGGTGATCTTTACAAAGCACTAGGCTTACTTTCTCCTTTATTAAATCTATAATATTTTATTTGTTTCTCAAATATATAAATTTTATTGCTTTGCAACTTAATGGCAGGAAAAAATTAATTTATTTTCACTGTATTCTATTGACACACATTAATTACATGGCTACAAAAGTAGGTGAGAAATAGATAAGATTTTACATATGTAAATACATAAAAACATATTTTCAAAAACAAATAATATTTGCTAAAATTTTTACTCAGATTCTTCACTAATTTCTAATGTAAACAAATGTAAAATAATGCATTATGACTTATGATATAGTAATTAAAATTATACATTGCAGATGTGTTGTGTAAGCCTGAATATGTATATGGGGTTTTTATTTGTTGGCCCATGTTGTCTAGTAGGGGCAATGCGACCCTGTTGTAGGGTAGTTCCATTTATATTCTTTTTGCAATATGTGTATGTCTGTATTTTAGGAACATTATTAGCTCACTATGAGTTTTATTCAAACCCTTTAATGCTGTTTATGCCCCCACTTCCTCATCTATCCTGTTCTCATCATATTATCTATTCAGTTTACCCACTTCGTGATCCATTTTTCCAGAGCAACCCTTTATACCACTGTGATATCTCTACTGTCAGTTTAAAGTACTCCTGTGGTGCCTTTACTAATTAATTGACCTCTGTGAGTATTTGAAAATGAAACAGCTATCTGAAGATTAAAAGCTAACATTTATGAATGAGAGAAATGTGACAATTGTCTTTCTGGGTTAAGGCTAATTCTCTAACAATGACTTTTGAACTCCATCTATTTACCTTCAGTTTCATGATTAAACCCACACTTCAAGAGCCACATGATTGACAAAGAGGTAAACAACACACATTGGAGAAAAGATAACACCTTCAAATGGTGCTAGCTTAACTGGCTGGAATGTAGAATACATGTAGAATACAACTATATCCCTATCTCTCATGCTGCACAAAGCATAACCCCAAATGTGTCAGAAATATTAATAAAAAGATCCAATAACCTGAAAAACTAACAGAAGAGAAAGCCGGGAATATGATTGAATTCACTGGTACAGAAAGGGACTCTGAACAAGACCCCAGTCATGCAGACATTAAGACATTGAGGAGAGCAGAGAAAAATGTAGAGATCAATAAATATCAATTTGAAAAAAGGAAAAAAAAGAGCAACAATTAGCCTGGTGGTTGTGGTAAATGTCTTTAATCCCAGTACTTAGGAAGCAGACATAAGCAGATCTCTATGAGTTTGAGGCCAGTCTGGTCTACAGTGCAAGTTCCAGGTCAGGCACCAAAGCTACAGAGAAACCCTGTCTCAAATAAACCAAACCAAATAAGAAAAAAAAGAGCAACAATTAATCAATAAGACCTCATAAAACTAAGCCTCTTTATTCATCAAGACACCATAGTTCTAGTCAGTTGACTGCCTAGAATGGGAAGCAAACTTTACCAGTTAC